GGAGGTCAAACACCTAACCCGACCAGCAGGTAGAGGGTAGAATGACACTCAAAGTCAGTGTGTGCTGGGCCTATCTTATATACCCCATGGGGTCACGTATTTCTCTTTCTTGTCTGTCATGCCAAATGGGGCTGGTCTGTCTTTTGTGAGACCAGTTCTTACAAGGGAGTTGTGAACTTAATTTACACTTGTAAGAGAGAATTGAGATGATTAAATTGGAAGTACTGGACATTCTTTTCTCAGTGGGAAATTCCTCTCCCAGGGACTGTGTGTGTGTTTGAATCAACATAGGTGCCAGCCGGGCACTCTCGCATATCCTGATCTCGCATCAAAGCAGATCAAAGCTTAATGGCTATGCTGATTGCCTTAATCGCTCTCTCTCCACATATCTGTTTTTTTCAGCTTCTCAGGATCAGATGAGCCAGCATAGACTATGCTGATTTTATTGCTCCTTCTCTGCCCTGTATGCTTCAGAGAGGCAAATAAGATGGATGATATGGGGGGTTAGTCTGTCTGGCTACAGCGTGCCGATATCTGAGATGATGGGATGTCCGGGGTGTCCAGGTTTATGGATTTTGGGAAGCAGATAGAAAAATCCTGGTCGGGGTTCAGAAGGTGTTTCTGTGTGGATTTGGTCCCGAGTAGCTGTAGGGAGTTCTTTAAGGAGACAGTGTAGTTTCTTTTGGTATTCTGAAGTAGGATCAGAGGAGAGGGGTTTGTAAAATGTGGTGTTGGAGAGTTGTCTGGTTGCCTCCTGATTATAGTCGGACACTCCAGTCATCTGACAAAGTGGGTTTTGCCCATGAAAGCTCATGATACCATCTACATGTTTTGTTCGTCTTTAAGGTGCTACCAGATTATTTGTTTTTTAAGTTTATCCTGTACAGACTAACTCGGCTACCCCCCGAAGCTTAACCCTTTCGTTTTGACCCAGCACATTATGTTCCCTCCTGCTACAAACTCACTTATCTCAACTGGGTGCAGGGAGCTGCCTGCACAAACCATCCAACCCTCAGATCTGATGTTCCAGCCAGTCACAGACTGAGGAGCTGGAGATGAAATGCAGCAACTTACGCTGGTGGCTTGTGCGCTTTTGCTGGCTCAGTGTAAGGATTTGTCTATACTAGAAAGTTTGTCCTGCTTTCACAGATCAGAGGCACAACCCCCATCAGCATGGATGTGATTATACCAGTAAAACAGGGGTGGGGAAACATACCTTGATCTAGCCCGTGAGGTTCCTGCACCCTTCCCTCTCACCCAGATCCCACACCCCAAGCCTGTGTCCTGCCAACCCCCTCCCATTCACTGAAACCCTCATTTCTTACCCCCTCCCAGAGCCTGGGGGAGGGGGATGCACAAAATCTACAAGCTCAGGCCCTCGTGTGCAAGTGGAATGTGGGGTGTGTCTTTCTGCTTCTCAGACCGGGGCCACGTCAGTGACTTTTTTGGTTTCTCACTTTTGCGTGGCCCCTGGCTGATTTTCCTGTGGGTCAGCGGCCCCTGACCCAAAAAGACCCCCCCCCCCAACACACACACAGAGTTACACTGGTAAAACTTTACATTGTAGGCCAGGCAGAAGACAGCCACCTGCTAGAGGACAGAGAGAACAGTCTTCCTCCAGCTGATATCAAGGCTTCCGAAGCCCAGCAAATGTTCCCTGTTGAATGTAACTGCTGCTGGTCCAATAAGAGAGCCAAGAAGGAAAACAGCCTGAGAATTCACCAAGCTCCCGAGGGCCCGTGCTACAGCGAATGTCATTGGTTTTAGACTTGCCATGGGGGAGAACATGATGTTTCTGGAGAGAGGTGCCAGCTTAGGAGCTCTAGTGACCTACAGAAGAGACATAGCATGCAGGTCTGGTGCCCTGCCAACATTCTCTTATCTGGAGGGATCCCCGGTTTATCTATCCCCAACTGTGGCCATTTTGCAATGCTTTCCTGTAAGTGGGGGAAAAGGGGGGTCAGATCACAGCAACCTCACCTCAGTCCTAAGAATCCTCCCTGTTTGATCTGCCGCCCACGTTCTTCCTGCACAACATACTTCTAAATGGCAAGTTGCAACCTGTGCTCGGTTTGGCCAGCAGAGCGGGTGCCTTCCTAGTTCTTCTCTGCTAAGAAATAACCTGTTGGCAACAGGAACTGAATGATTACCATGGAACAGGCAGTCAAAAATGCACAGGGAGCAGGGCCCTCTGGTACACGGATTGTGTATACCCCAGATAGACCCTTCAAAACAGTCAGACTGCAGCTCTACAATCGGTCACATCACCTGGCATTTCTACCGCCATTTTTTCCTGTAGGACTCCCATGGGCTTCGCAAACGCTACATACTAGGGATGTGAAGGTTTAACCAGTTAATTGGTTAAAGTTAACCAGCAGGCAGGGGCTGCTCTGGCTGGCCAGTATATTGTGTGGAGGTGCTCTAGCCCAGCGGGGGATGGGAGACATGCCTTTAATCAGTTAACTGGTTAAATAATGTGGTTAACCAGTTAGCCAATTAAATGGGATTTAACATCTCTACTACATACACTGTCCCTGGAACCAATGGGGGGGGGGGAGGGGTTGGGGAGATCAGTGACCTAAAGCTCCCAGCACACAGCTAGAGCGGGATAGGGCTGAGCACCTATGGAGTGCTAGAAGGGAGTCAGAAAATGTGTCCTTGTGCCCGTCTCCTTTATGTGCACCCAGACATTGACCAGGACAAATCTAGCCCTGCAATAAGGCGAGTCTCACACCTGAAGGATGCAGAGTTGAGTGGACTCTGCTGGGATTTGAACTTGTGAATTCGTGTGTTCCAAAATAAGTGCTTAGTGACCGAGCAGTTCCCTCTCCAGCTTATGGTATTCCATTCCTCCCCCACAAGGGGGCACTGTCACAGAGAGAACACATCTGTGTATATCTGCTATTCCGGATCTACAGCAAGTTTGGGTACAGTTCCCCCTGATTCATCTTAAAATGGCAACATTACTCAATCACATGGTGTGTTGCAGAAAAGGATCCATCTGGGAAGGCGTTAACAGGGGTTGGGGCACAGGGGATGTGAACAGTCGGCTGAGACAGCAGAGTTAAGACAATGCAGCCTGAATAAAACAAACCTGTGTCTGAGAATTCAGAAGATGCATGTTAAACCACAATTGTGGAAAAGTCACCAGCCCCAGAACATTAAATTCCATCACTTGTGATTGCACAGGCCTTGTAATTAGGGGTCGCTCAGAGAGATTTCCAACTTGCAGAGCTGATTAATATAGTCTGACAAAAAGTGCCAGTGCAGGAGGAAACGCGACTCCATTGCCATCACAGAGCTGGCTCCAGAAGCACATGCAACAATTTGCTCCCTAACTTGACCCCAGCAGCTCCTCAGCCCAGGAAATTTAGCCTTGGAGGGGCAGCATGGGGCAAGGCAGAGGTGAGACTCTCCATTCCTTGTGTGTAGAGTCTTCCCAGTGTGGCAGGGTCAGACCCACTCCTGGATCCCAGACCCCTGCTCTCTCCATAACTCCACAGCCTCACTTGCCCTTTCCAGTATTTTGGAGGTTCTGCCCTTTGGCTAGACAGGTGCTGGGGCCAACACCCTGGTGAGCCAGGCTGAGTAACTAGTCCTTCTCAGTCACCAGCCAGGCTCTCAGACAGCTTGGGGAAGGAAGACCAAACACTCCCGGTCAGAGCCCCTTACCTTCCCCGTCTCTTCTGGCAGTGCTGACCCACTGTTTTTCACCCTCTAGCTCTCCCTTCCCTCTGCCTCCATACTCCTCTTCCATGCTCTCCTGCCCTCCCCCACAGGGAAGGCTTTTAAAAAGGTCCCGTGGCAGCCTGAAGGCAGCTCACCTGGCCTTTAATTGATTTATAGCAGCCATGTCTCAGCTGCCCATGATTAGCCAGAGTCCTTGCTATTTTTCAGAGCTGCCTCTCTCCCCTTCCATCCAGCCCTTTACCCTGCCCTGTCCCACTGCTGTGTACAAAAGCACATACTTAAATAAATGATAAATAATAAAAAGGGCATTACACAGCAGTTCTCAGGAGCTGCCAAGTCCCAGCGTAATCAAACACAGTTGGAGAAGGTAACATCACCCCTTGCTCAAATCTTTCCCAGCCTCTTTTGGGGCCGTAGTGCTGTGCAGAGTTCTGCTTTACTCTTGTAAACACCTGTTTACATCTATTCTGACTTCCTTACTTTGATCAATGCCGAGTTAGCCACAGTAGGATTTTCACACTCCTTTGAGCCTATTCCCAGGGTTAGGGATTTTCACAATCAAATGAACTCTGTGCCTGGGTATTTGGAACGTGGACTCACCTTTCTCTTTTTCATTGGCACGATGGTTAAGGTTTCCAGTGTTTTTGTTGTTGCACCGTTCCGCTTTCTCAGAGCTGATTAAAGAACAGTCATTCCTGCATCACGGTAGCTATACCAACAACTAATTCTGCATGTTTCCACCTGATAGAGGAGATTGGCAGTGAGATAAAGAGAAATTCCATGTGCTACACACCATTCCCCACTATTCTTTGGCTCTGGCAATTACACAAACTGCTGTCTCAGTAAGAAATGTGCATGCCCTGTGTTGCCCAGGATATGAAGAACTTAATATACCTTGAATGGGTTATACCTTGACTTCAGCAAAGCTTTTGATATGGTTTCCCACAGTATTCTTGCCAGCAAGTTAAAGAAGTGTGGATTGGATAAATGGACTATAAGGTAGATAGAAAGCTGGTTAGATCATTGAGCTCAATGGGTAGTGATAAATGGCTCTACGTCTGGTTGGTGATTGGTATCAAGTAGAGTGCCCCTCGGGTTGGTTCTGGGCCCATTTTGTTGAACATCTTTATTAATTAACCGGATAAATGGATGGATTTCACCCTCCGCAAGTTCAGAGATGACATTAAGCTAGGGAGAAGAGGTAGAAACATCGTAGATAGGGGTAGGGTCCAGAGTGACCTAGACAAATTGGAGGATTGGACCAAAAGAAATCTGATGAGGTTCAACACGGAAGAATCCCAAGCACTGCTACAGGCTGTGGACCAACTGGCTAAGCAGTTCAGCAGAAAAGGACCTGGGGATTATAGTGGATGAGAAGCTGGATATGAATCAACAGGGTGCCCTTGTAGCCAAGAAGGCTAATGGCATATTAGGGTGCATTAGGAGGAGCATTGACTGCAGATTTAGGGAAGTGATTATTCCCCTTTATTCAGCACTGGTGAGGCCACATCTGGAGTACTGCATCTAATTCTGGGTCCCCCATTACAGAAAGGATGTGGATGCATTGGAGAGAGTCCAGCAGAGGGCAACAAAAATGATTAGGGGCCTGGAGCACATGACCTACAAGGAGAAGCTGAGGGATTTGGGCTTATTTAGTCTGCAGAGAGAAAAGGGATTTGAAGGGGGGTTCCAAAGAGGATGGAGAGAGGCTGTTCTCAGTAGTGACAGATGGCAGAATGAGGAGCAATGGTCTCAAGTTGCAGTGGGGGAGGTCTAGGTTGGGTATGAGGAAAAAACTATTTCCCTAGGAGGGTGGTGAAGCACTGGGATGGGTTACCTAGGGAGGTGGTGGAAACTCCAACCCTAGAGGTTTTTAAGTCCCAACTTGACAAGCCCTGGCCGGGAGGATTTAGTTGGGGTTGGTTCTGCTTTAGCAAGGGGTTGGACTCAATGCCCTCCTGAGGTCTCTTCCAACCCTAGTATTCTATGAACTAAAGCCATTGTTGATATCTTCTCTAGAGATGATGCTTCCCACTGATGTCTCTCCTTCTGCAATCCGAAACTACTGGATGGACAACTAGCTACCTAATATCCTCCTTGCAAGAATGCATGTTTCCAGGTTTTATACTGCTGCCTTCAGGTCTTGCCAATAGCATTAGAAGGCACTTAAGGTAAACCAAAGGCACTGACCTGTCCTTAAAACTGCGGGTTGGCCAAGCTGCCCATGTTACCCATCTCAGTCCCATCTGATTGTAAACTAGATGTTAATCGTGCACATTGTGGAGGTAGGCCACCTCTTCTTATCTGACAGGTGCCTGGTAAATAATGTCAGACCCGCCTTAGTTCAGAAATCCATTCTTTGGAACCCTGGCTTGGAGATGTCTGCTAGACTCTTTGGGCTGTGTCTACATTGGCCCCTATTCCGTAATAGGGATGCAAATGTAGCACTTTGGAATAGGCAAATCCACGGGGGATTTAAATATCCCCCGCGGCATTTGCATTAACATGGCTGCCGCTTTTTTCCGGCTTGTAGATAAGCCGGAGAAAAGCGCCAGTCTGGACGCGATCCTCCGGAAAATAAGCTTTTTTCCGGAGGATCATGTCCAGACTGGCGCTTTTCTCCGGCTTATCTACAAGCCGGAAAAAAGCGGCAGCCATGTTAATGCAAATGCCGCGGGGGATATTTAAATCCCCCGCGGATTTGCCTATTCCAAAGTGCTACATTTGCATCCCTATTACAGAATAGGGGCCAATGTAGACACAGCCTTTTAGTGGCTGTCAATTTGGCAAGGCGCAGCAGGCCTGCTAGGATCAATTCTCACACAAGATCATTTTTGTTCGCTCGTAAGCTTCTTTTTTGTTTTGTTTTGTTGTGTTGGACACATAAAAGGGAGGGACAACATGAGTGAGCAAATGATTGCTCCTAGTTCATTTTGCACAGCAAGTGCAAGTTCTACCAAACCCAAAAACCCAACAGCTGAATTACATTGTCGCTTGGAATTTGGGGCCTGTTTTATGTCGTTCTCTATCATGCGTTTGCAAAGCCAATGCCATGAGCAAAAAAACAAACCTAATTAATTTGCATTCAGAAAAGAGTGAAACACAGCTGCAGCGTGCAAGGACAACCTGAAACCGCAAACAGAAAGCCTCTTCCCGCCAAGCTCCTAAGCACAGTGTTTTAGGGACAACTCGGGACTACCCTGGTAAAAGACACTGCCCAAGACCTGGGAAAATTAAGGCCCCTCCCAAAACTGTTGGTCACTAGTGCCCTACAGGGGATGAGGACTGAAGGAAGCGCAACTGGCAGCAGCAGTATCAGTAGCTCTTCAAGCAACATGACCTCGACAGAGCCACATTCTTTGACAGCGCTTAAAATGGTTTCAGAGAAGTGAGGGAGGGGTCTGATCCTCACCCCTCATTGCCCCATTTCCTGGTCCTCCATTCTGAAAATTCCACCCCCGCAAATTTTACCTCAGCTCTGCCCCTCCCCACTCTTCATGCAGCTCCAAGGAGTGCCCCCATTCCCATAGCTGGAGGGGGGCTGCAACCAGGTGTCCTCTTCCCCTCTCCGGACTAGGGGTTCCAGGACCAGGAGGTGCTGAGGAGCCATCTTGTTGCTCACAGGAGAGGTCGGGGGTGGGGCTAGGCTCTTCCTGCTCCCTCGTGACAGGTGTCCCGCTCCTGAGGGGGGAGCGCGAGCACTTTATTGCATCCCTGAGTGGCTCTTCTTCCCTCCCCAGCTGAGAGAATGAAGAAACCAGCCAGTCTGAGGCAGGCCTACCGACGAGGGAGGTGGGCAGGGTGCAAGGGGGGGCGGGTACTGCCCTGGGGCCTGATGATTCTAAAGGGTCCAAGATCCCCAGAACCCTGGGCCCTTTAGATCGCTGCAGGAATGATACACGGTGCTCCAAGGGGTTGGGGGGGAAGGAAGTGTGATGTGGTACGCTCCAGGCGGCACTGAGGGCTGGCTGCCCCCACTCTCACCTCTTCCTCCTGAGGCCTAAGCGCCCGCCCCAACATGGCTGTCAGCTTCCCTGGTCTAAGGGGGCTTGGCCCAAGGTGACACAAAAAGGAAAACCCCTTCTTGGCCTGCTCCACCTTGTTCCCTGGGTCTGTGACCCTGCACACGATGCACTGCACTCAGGACCCCCACGAAAACAGCCCATTGGAGCAATGTGTCGTCAAAAAGCAGCCAGGCACCCCCGCTTCTTCCTTCTGGGATCAACACCAGCCCTCACACCCTCCCCTTGCTCTGGCTTGCACCCTCCTCACTGACCCTACCAGAGCAGGGCCTACAGTTTGTTTGCCTGTCGCTTGGATTCTGGTGCGGCGCCAGGTGTGTTGTTACATGTAGAACTGCTACTTATAAGAAATGGCATTAGGGTTGATTTACCTGCACTATGTTCCCAGCAGAAGGCGCAGCAAGACAGGCTGCAGGCAAACTTGCATCAGCAATGGGGAGCCCTCTGTTTTCCTTGGCTCAGACCCCACCCATCCCAGGGAGCAGTGTAAAGTACCTGAAATGGCCACCACACACAGCTGCTCCTAATGACAACTGGGATCCTAGCAGGCTGCACCCTGGACTCCAGAAAGGGACGGTCAGATGAGTCTCCTGGCCCAGCTGCCTCTAGGATTGCTGTAGGTGAGCCAGACCCCAGCGGCTTCCTCCAGATTGGTGGGTGGTCGTATCTGAGAAAGCGTAATAAATGGAATATTTCTTCCCAGGCCCAAACATGTCCCCAAACCTGCACACATTTCCCCTGAGATACATCGGCATTGAGCAACGTTCCCGCCGAAGACTGAAACAAACTGGTGTCCAGTCTACATCTAGCTTTCAATCCAGGCAGACTGGAATCCTGCAGATAAAACCTGTGGCTCAACTCCATCTAAAATCTCAACTAGTCCAAAGGTTTGTCAGAGCTTCTCCTCATCTCTAGCTGTAGGGGGTAGGGAGCAGTTGTCTGATCTCAGTAGCAATTGGGAAGGAAGGCAAAACTCTAATCTCTTGCTGCTGGGGGGCCATCTTTTTGCTGTTTGAACTACGGACGTAAGCAACTAGTCAACTACCCAATAAGCATAGGCTTGTCAGGTAGTCGAGTCACTATTTGACTAGTCACTCCCCCCTCTTGCTGCCTCTGTATCAGAACAGGAGCTGATGGGAGCCAGCTTAAAAGCCAGTTCTCCCAAGCACCATCTCTGTGGCCGGGTGGAAGGATGGGGGGACAGGAGAGGCAGAGCTACAGTGGGAAAATGGTTCGAGTGAGGACTGATGCAGTCCTCACTCACACAGGCTCCGGACTGCTGCACTCCGACATGGCACCTCAGTCCTGACGTGGTAGTCTCTTCTGTCATTTCAACCCAGGTGCTTTTCCCTGTCCCCTCCGGGGAACCGTAACACGACAGGGCTTGAGGCGACAGGCAAAAATCCAGCAGGCGCCTTGCTGAGATGAACAATTTCCGTTTAATAATTGTGGCCTAAACCAAGTTTGAGCTTGGTTCTCCAGAGAACACAGGCAAATAAGCCCCCCCTGCTTTACAGCTAAATGTTGGCTGTGTGGCAGAACAGAGGAGCATGCCAGCTATGCACCTGCAGAGCTGATCTCTATACAAATAAAACATTCACGAGAATCAACACGCTAATTCCCTCCATGAGCAAAATTAAGAGAAAACAGAACTTGCCTAGGTTGTAGATTTTATGGCCTTTTACACTAATTAAACTAATATTTCACAAGCCAATTTCCTCTGTGAAAAGCAGCTTCCTGTTTTCTCTTTCTCCTAGCGCTTTATCACCTATCTGTATCTTGGCTCTGATCGTTATCTAAATGAAGAACTCGAAAGTGACAGGAAGCTAGACAAAGGATCGGAGGCTTTATGGCAAGCAATGAGCGTATTTCTTCTCTGTCTTGGAAGAAGGTCAGAGAAACAAACTCCTGGTGGAAAAACCTGTCTGCAGCCTTTTCTTCATGCAACTGGCAGATAGTACAGACGGCTATTGGCCGCCCTAGAGAGCATTCAAACACATGGGTCTATGTTTCTGTTTACAACTGGCATGGCGATAGAAGGCAGGTTTGCATTTCTGAATGTATCACGACCACGTCATAGAAAGCTCTCCATCCACTTGAAGCAGAGCGCTCAGAGAAAAACCACATGTTCTCGGGCAACAGAAATCCCATATTTGGGCCTCGTCCCTGTAGGGCAGGGCTACTCAACATGTGGCCCCCAGACCACATGCGGTCCATGGCCTGTTTGTTTGCGGCCCGAGATGCAGTTTGGATTTACGTGGCTCAACACATGGCTGGGAGCCGGAACAAAAAAGTAGTCAATATAATGGTCTTCTATTGACATGCATTTTTGTACTTAAATTCCTCGATTGTCATTGCTCATTAAAGGTACTGTGAGATGGGTGGAAATCGGGTAACTATTGCATTTTATTAATATCAGCAGACCTGACTTAAATGGGGCCTGTGTGTTGCGTAGTCTTGCCTTAATCTTTGTATTCATGTCCATCAAAGTGATAGAAGCTATTTGCATATACAGGGCTTGCCAGCCGCGTGGTTCTGCGCACTGCACGTGCGCAGATCGTGTGGTGCCGGCTGTGCCGGCTTGTAATCTACTCGCCATGGGCAAGTAGATTACATGATTTGTCGAGCCCGGTGCATATATATTTGTACTATACGCACCCACACTTAAGTTGCGGCCCTCGGGATGTGCTTGGAGTACCACTGTGGCCCCCGGGGCTTCCCAAGTAGAATAGCCCTGCTGTAGGGTTTATCCTCCACAACCTGTAGCAAGCGGGAAGCACAACTTGGACTAAGTTCCATGTCAGACAGAGAATTTTAAAAAAGGGAGTCAGAGCAAGTGTCCCCAGCTGGAGAAAACCACCTTCAGAAGTCACTGATTTTCCCCTGCAAGATACTACATGGTTTAACTAGAAAAGCTGCTTGAAACACGCAACTTTAACTTCCCTTTTGATTTTAGTCACAACTGCTGCCCCTTTTGCCCCATGCAAACTCAGGTAACAGGGTACTTTATCCTCTGTCATGGCCACAAACGTGATGGTGAGTCTGTGGCAACACAAGTCCCTTAACCTCAAAATCAGACACACTGTGGAAAAGCATCCTTCTCTCTTCTGTTTATAACCAGGCAACTAGCTCTACACAGCAATTTTTCAATAGTAAAGATGTATTGAAACTTTTCTCGGATCACTTTTCTCGGGCACATACTGGCATAAGTTCAGCAATTTGACCTAGATCACATAGGGCCCATTTGCCAGAAAAGTGAAATATCCACAGCTCCCATTAACTTGAATTGGAGTCATGGAGCTCAGCCCAAAGACCAGAAGGGTATGTCTACACAGCAAAAGAAAGCCTGCATCTGGCATGTGTCAGCCAACTTGGGCTCACAGGGATATTTCATTGCTGGGAAGACATTCTGGGACTCTCTCACCCTCACCCCCAATGTCCTACCAAGCAATGAAATAGCCCTGTGAGCTCATGTCAGCTGGGACAGGCCAGCAGCAGGTTTTCCTTCGCTCTGCAGTCGCACCTGAAGAGGTGGGCCCAGGAATTTTCAATGAAAAGCTTTTGGTTTTTTGGTTTTTTTTAAACCACAATCTCTTCCCCACACCCCCGTTGTTTTGCTGTGTTTTAGGTAGCTTGTACTTGGGGTAACAGAGAATGTTGACTGGATGGTGAAGTCATGTGACAAAGTGCCATGAACACTCACAAAGCCGCTATATTTTAACTTGATTGTAGTCAAATCGCATTGTAACACAGGCTGAGCAAAGCAAAGCAATGTTAGAAGAGCATTAAAAATTCATGCTCTAATCCAGACTCCCTGAGCCATTGTGGGCCATACAGCGTTAGGATCATGTTAACAAGCGACTGGATGGTGAAGTCATGTGACAAAGTGCCATGAACACTCACAAAGCCGCTATATTTTAACTTGATTGTAGTCAAATCGCATTGTAACACAGGCTGAGCAAAGCAAAGCAATGTTAGAAGAGCATTAAAAATTCATGCTCTAATCCAGACTCCCTGAGCCATTGTGGGCCATACAGCGTTAGGATCATGTTAACAAGCGGCGTCATGCTTGGGGCTGAGAGTTCAACAAGGAAGAGGTGACAGAGTGCGGCTTCCCCCACTTTGCAAACAGCAGCAGACGTCTTCGCCTGGGCTTGGTGACACAGCACCCCCTTCCACTCTTTCTTTGCTCATGCTTCAATTTACTTTAACCACTGGTTGGACCCCACCCACATCGTGGGTGAAGTCAGTCTCCATTATAGTTACCAGAACCCCTTTTGGCTACAGCTGCGTTTTAACACATCCCTAAATGTATGTGATTTTCCATTTGGCTGCTTATAGCCTAAGTGAAGGTTGCAGAATTTATGCTAGGATTTCCCTGCAGCAGTAAGCTAGACCCAGGTAGACAGAATGCAATTACGCACATTGGAATTCAGTTCAGGTGCAAACCCAAGGTAGCATAACATTATATATGAAGGCTAGACACTAGGGTTAGCTAATAACAGACAAGAGAAGAGATCTGCGTTTGCTTGTAGATGTGCAGCTGCTAGAAGAGTTGTTCTCCCCTTATAACATTCTCTCGCACTCACCTTAAGTAACAGACGCACTCCACTTGCAGACAAAACCTGGCTGCTGTAGTGTAGCTTGGTTTTATTTATGTCCACAAATATTTCAAAAAAATTACAAAATACTCAAATGGAGAGAACACAGAAGTCACGATTTCTGGGTTTCTACTCTGTTTACACTGTGTTATCCCATGGCCAACTACTCATATATACATTAAGCTTCAAGATATATATAAATGTAGCAGTCAGAATGTACACTCTGCTTTAACGGTGCAGTGAAACAAGCTCAACCATGACGACATAGAACAAGAGACGTTTCAGAAACACTAACGCAAAATTAAAAAAAAACCTTCAAAACAGAGGGGAAAAAATAAGATTTCTGAAAGGAAACCAAAAGGTCAGGGTTATATTAACAGGGCAATGAACACCAAGATGGTTCAAAAGCCATTGCAAATAAAGCTGTAGTTAATCACGGGACTGAGATGGATGAATCTCAGTGCTTCTTTGTGGCACAATGTCAGAAACGTACAAAATACTACAGAGCTGCAAAGAAAAACAAGATCTAGCTTTTTGAATAGGGATTGCAAAACAGTACTTTGTTCTTTGGAAAAATGGAAGGAGATTAAAAAAGGACACCATGAAGGAATAAGCATTTTACTTTAAAAAAAAACCCCACACTGAAATAGGGAGGCAGTGTCACGGGTGGTGGTGTTATACCTGCCCTTCCACAATTCCAGACAGTGAGACACTGACTCACTCTAAGGATCTGAAATGGGACTGAAAGAAGAATTGGAATGAAAGGAAAAGAGATGAGATGCAACTGAAACAAGCTTCCTCCCCTGCTACACAGATTAAGCCTGGAACTCCCTGATGCAGGTCTTCATTCATAAACTGGTGCCATTACCTACCCATGAGCGCAGCCAATGAGTAGCAACATGGTAATGTTGGTTTCTGGCCAGTGTGGTGGTGAAGCACCATGCATGCTGTGCCTTGCCACAAGGCTGAATGATTAACTACAAGTTTATCTAACATGGCTCAATACAGTCCTATGACACGACCACCACATATAACAGTCTACAACAGCAGAGCTACAGCCCTCAAAAGTTGAGAGAGAGAATGGAAGAGGTTTGTACCAATAGAAAACATGACCAGCAAATGCAGATGTTCTCTGGACCTGCCATCCTCTGCCTTATAAAAAAACATGGCTAATGCAGCACTAAGAAAAAAGATGTTTTGGTACGTGTCTATGTGAGGAAGATGTGCCTCTTTGTTCAGACAGCGAGCAAAGCTACTTACAAAAATATATGCCTATTGTTCTACCGTGTGCACCTTCTCCTTTGCCGTACATCAGCCATGGTGCACTTGGGGTACACAATAGTTCTTCTTCTAGCCAATCTGGACCAATCAGCATGAACATGCTGTTACTGAACACCTCTGGCTAACCCCACAGTGGTAGGTTCCTTGTTACACACATACTTGTGCCATGTCAGAAAAAAAAAAAAAGGCAACCTTCAGTAAAAGACAGGATAAGTTTAGATGACTGGTGGTTGTGAAAAAACTTTAAATGCATAACTCTGGTCCAACTGTCTAGTCTCTTCCTTTAGGATTATGTAAAACAAAATCCACAGACAGTGGGCCTGGTCCAAAAATTCTGCACATGCCCACACAATCCTGACTTTAAGAGTCTGAGTGACACATCCTCTTTAAAGGAAGCTACTATTTCTTTCAATGTTTGCTGCTACTTGCTAAATCTAAAGAGATAACACAAATTTAGCAAGACTCTTGTTTTAAAAGACAATAGGAGGAGGCAGATTACAGCCAAATTTAACAATAACCTCTATATTAGAGACAGAAAGGAGAGGCCAGTTCCAAGGGACGTCTGTACTGCTGAGAACTCAATAAAAGTCATCTGCAGAATGGAAAGATATAACGATAATGGGAAAAAAATAGAAGAGAAACAGTTATTTGTAACATTATCCCTGCAACTCCCTTTAATGCTTATTGTATCTACCAAATCAAATTTCAAGCATCTGCCCATTTGAAATTATTGACACCCACCATTTCCCTTTATTTAAAGGGATAATTATATATATTTATTTTGTATTAAAAATCAACTCTGTATTCTGTCACTACCAGGATTTGTGATGTTACTGAAAAAAAAAATCAAGATTGTTATGTTTGTAGAGTTTTGTTATTTTTCCTCCCCCACCACCCAAAAAAATTATTTACAGACTTAAAAAGCCATGCTGAAGAACTGAGCTCTCTTTAAAAGTATGAAGATTTCCTACAATGTATTAAAATAAAAGTAATTTTTTTTTATTATTATAGCACTTGGATTCAGAGCTTGTTATGCCACCTACTTGCAATCCTTATTTTTTTCTGTTTGTAATATATATAGTATAGATGCATTGTCTCTTCACGCACAGTGACTGTCGTGTTGTGAACCTGATTCTAGCACCTACCCCAAAATCAAACAACAAAAAACAACCCCCCCCCTCCCAAGATTGCAGGGTAGTTCTCTGAGAAATCCAAAGAGTCCTGTATTTTCAATAGGCTTCTGAACAGGTTGTCATGCAGGGAAGCCCACACCAGTCTTGAGAACATCTTCTCTACAAATGAACACTATTTATGCCGGTCAGTCTGTAGCTGTTGGTAAGGGAGGTGGGTGTTTTCTTTTGATTTAAATATATAAAGAAATCTTTATAAGATATTCTTTTGCAGCTCTTATTGTATGTAAAAATGTTCCATTCCTTCCCAAGGACTGGGGTTTCCATAGCCGGCATTACAAATAAATAATTAATTACAACTGTTTGTCACCTTCTTTCTTCAGTCGACTGAAAGAGAAAGAAAATGAGTTTTAGTGGACAGAAAACATGTGTCTCGGTGTCTCCACAATATGTTGCCCTTTGATGCCTCACTGTGAAATGGGTGAAGGTCCAGAGGGGAGAGCGAAGGGGACATGGGTGCAGGAGATCTGATTTCTCTGAACAAATGGAGAACCAGCATGGAAGAACACAGTCAGTCTTGGGAGATGACATACTTAGTTTAATTGGGGTCTTCTCTAAATTAGCAAGACTACCACTTGGAAGCACGTGCCAGCAAACAGTGCAGCTGAACTGGTGCTGATTATGTTTTGCCTCTGTGCACACTCGCAGCAAAACCATGTTCAGCACCAGCGCAGCTGCTCGTACCATCCCCCTATGTCCATGATTTTCCAGAGCACAGAGAGGGTTTCAGACGCCAAAGCAAGATGGGCATGAGGCTGGCACATGCCATGCTGCTGCTCAGTCATCCTCACTACAAAGCAACACAAAGAGAGGACTTCGCTGGATGCCATAGGCAGGAGATTACCAGCCACCATTGCAAAACAGAAACTAGAAATCTTCCAGTGAAAGAAATGGGGAAAAGAGAGGAGAAAAAACATTGCAATATAGTAATTTTGGTACAGGAGAAACTCTCATGGCCTGTTGAGATCTGCTCAGACATTCACCCAGAATCTGTGTTAGTTATGCTTGCACCAACCGGCATCCATCAGCATTTGGTTCAGCTTTACATGCTGGCGAATTCCTCTTATTTTTGTTCACAGGGGTTTTTTCCTTGCAGGGGAGGAAGTGGGGAAATAGCAACTGTAATGAATGTCACTAAAAGCAAAGGTAATTCTGCAGAGCACACTAGAGCTAGCTTATTCCTTACTCTGGTCTAGTTTCCAAAATATCCCTTCTTCCTGTGACAAAGTGGGAATGTTCTTAATGTTTCCAGTAAATACGGTGTGCGCGCGCTTTGGTTTCCCCTATGTATTACTCAGCTATCTAGGTGGTGGGATAAGAGTGTGTGATCTCTGCAGAGATCCCCAGAGAGCAGGTGTGATTGCCGACTGGTCATGGAAAATGGCCTATAGGCCGTGTCCTGGCAAATGAGGGCGGGATCTCCTCCTCGGCAAGGGACTAGCTGAAGGTGTTGAAGAACAAAGAGACTTAGTGACCTGTTTGCCTGAGAAAGGGACAAAGCCTGAGACAGGGCAGGTGGGAGTGACTGAGCCTGGGCTGGTGGAAACTGGTCAGTTTCCTGTTTTGGGGCAGGGGGGGGGGGAGAGAGCTCGGTGGTTTAAGCATTGGCCTGCTAAACCCAGGGTTATGAGCTCAATCCTTGAGGAGGCCATTTAGGGATCTGGGGCAAAATCTGTCAGGCATGGTACTTGGTCCTGCTGTGAAGGCAGGGGAGAGGACTTGATGACCTCTCAAGGTCCCTTCCAGTTCTAGGAGATAGGCATCTCCATTCATTACCCCAAGATCGATTTTGCTAAATGGTCCTGATTCTGTGCTAACATGATCTGTTCTATGCTGCGTTCTCATCCACTAAGAAACTCGTCTGTTTTACACACTTGCTGAGTGCACAGTGGGGTACACGGCCCTTTGGCGACCCGTATGGCATGGCTAGCGGGACGCTCATGGTGCACTGAATGCTCTGAGGCCACTCAAGAAATGCTTCTTGCCCTTGTAAGAGTGCACCTGGAGGGGAGACACGCTGCACTAGAGCCCCCCACCACCTCTGCAGAGCGGCTGCAGACCAAGACTGACTCTCCACCCCAAATCAGGTTTTTCTGAAGTTTTATCTCCAAGCACCTCAAGGTCACACTGATCATGTCTGGGTGGCAGGGAGGGGACCTGTCAGGGGGAAAAGGGCCAGGAAAGTAGTAACAGAGTTTCTAGCTGAATCTCCATTTTATGTCTCACCTGTAATAATCTTCCTGACTCGGTAGGTGCCCACCGTGCATGTGGGGGTGGCCGTGCAACCATTGCTGCTCCATCGCCAATCTCTGCAGCTCTGCTGACTGGGCATGCATGGCCTGCAATTGATGGGCTGCTGACATTGGAGGTGGGATAGCACCAGGCAGGTCTCGTGGATAGGGGGTACCTACAAGAGACATAACTTTACAAACATAATTTCGTCTTTGTTGGCCTGCAAGGTGAGTACAACAGAACATCCTCCCCCACATTCCCATTTCACAGATGGGGAAAACAGATGTGCCGAGCGGTTAAGCATCTTGCTGGAGGTAATGCGGCAAATCAGTGGCAGAACTGGGATTGGGTGCTGATTTCCAGTCCCCGTGCTGTTCTAATCACTATACCACCCCGTGGCTTCCCTAAAGCTGCTATGAGGATTCAGTTCTAGTGGATGCATTAGTAACGGAAGAGGAGGTCTCTCAAAAGTTCAGTTAAAAACAATGATGAAAGCAAAAGCATAAAAATTAAAGCTCCTAGTTTGCTCCACTGCACATTTAGCCCCAGAGGGAAGTGTTAATAGTCTGGATTGAAATGCTGCCTAGAGAAAGGTCAGTGAAGCGTTCTCACCGAAGACCGGGTGTCGGAGCATTTCATGCTCATGGGGTGGCTGCCCTAGCACTGGGGTGGG